AGCCTAGAATCTACATTACCACAAACGAGTCATTATAAGGCAGGTAAAAAATGCAACCAAGAACTGTAAGTTAAAAGATCAGCAAGAGAGAAGCACGAAAAGAGCAATTACCTCACTGCAATTCAATTTTGTGAAAAGGATAAATTGCAGACAATCATAACTATCATATACATGTTACTATCATAAACGAAGTACAAATTGATGAAGCTATTAGTCTAGCAAATTTAAGTCAATTAGAAATTGTGATCTGCAATGTGTATTATTTGATATTATAGGCTCAGTCTCCTCTGTCCACCAAAGGAGAGTGTAAACTATGCAATCATAAATAAATCATTCCATATGCTTAGATACCATGACGACTGTTCATAATATCAAGCATAAGAATTGCCAAATGTGAATGTGATAGTGAATTTGGCATTACTACATGTCTGCACAGTGATAGTCTGACTATATGCTTCTGTCAAAACATAATATTCTACATACAGCACCATAGATGAAAGATAAGTCCACAATTTTTCATTAGATAGACATTATATATGCAAGGAAAAATAAAACAAATTTCTGATCTGGCAAAGAACAATAAGGATTACAAATAAACCAAGCTGGTATATATACCAGTCAAACCGAACAGCACATAACCATTATGCTTCCCTGTGACATCTATCCTTTCAAAAAAACAAAAGTTCTCTAATATACCAACAACAACAAAAATTGCAAATTTGTATCAATAATATGTGCAAACTTAACCAGAAATGTGAAATTAAATTGAAATTTCAGTGATTAGAACATCATTATACAATGATGAATGTTAGGGAATATACATGCGGGTTAAGTTTTGAGAATGGAATGAAACTGTGGGAAAATAATAAAGTGCTTTTTCACAAGAAATGATCAGTTATTATGGATTAATCCAGAAGTTCATAAAAACATAGCAACAAGAGTGTTCACCCATAACTACATCATGTACAAGATTATTATCTATAAATACTTGAGAAAGGTAGAAGTCATACCTTGATATCTTCATTTCTTAGGTACTTCAAACAATCCTGAACCACATGATTTCCATTGAGATCTTTGATTAGAGCCAAGAGTCCTGGTCGAAGAACAGATACAACTAATGAAATTTGTTGCCCAGTTGCGAGAGTCTGAATCAGCTTCTGTACCACACGAGAGCTGAAAGAAAATAAAAAAAGAAATGTCAAACTCAACATCATACAAACAATATAATAATTCAATACTTGTGTGAGTTGCATGATTACCCTTGAGTGTTCAAAGAGATATTGAAAAGTTTCCATGGCTTTTCAGTAACCTTACGTATGATCTGTGTCCTCTATTCTTCATTACAGACACCCAGTAATTTTCGCACAAGGTAATTTCTCGAAGGATCCATCATAAGTTCCACTACATGAGTAATGGTCTCATTAAATATATATTGAACATTTCCTGGTGTACCCTCATCAATCATTCTTTTCAGGGAATCTATGTACCCTCATCAATCTTTCTTTGTTTGAAGATTCAGGTTGATCGAATGCTTGCGGCTCGTTCTGGTTTACGTTGACATCATCATGATTGAGGCACCTTTCTTGCTGACTTACCAGAGAGTGGACTTCGTTAATACCCGAGAGAGGGTCTATCATCATCACCTGAGAACATACATGAGAAAATTGTTCTTGATTAAGACCCTTTAAAAATCTAATAACGCGATCCCTTTCTTGCCTGTTCTTGATCTGATTGACAAGTACTCCTCCACAGGAACATGCTGGTTGGCATTGACACTCAGGCATTGGTTGTAAACTATCTAATTTGTCCCACAAAGACTTCAATTCATTGAAGTATTCTTCAACTGCCTTCGTACCTTGTTGCACTTTCAATATGTCATCATGAAGATCCGAAATTCTGAAATGCGAAAACCTTTCTTGCAAGTCTTTCAAGATATCTTCAGCTTTGTCCATCCTCAAGACAGATTGCAAGATTGTATCAGAAATGGAGTGTTGCAACCATGACACCACCATTGTGTTGCATTTGTCCCAAGCTACATAGGATGGATCATTGAGTTCTGGCACGGTGATAGTTCCATCAACAAAAGCAAGTTTGTTTTTGGAACGTAGCGCATCCTTCATATCTCTCAGCCAAGTATGAAAATTCCTTCCATTTAATGGAGGTGATATAGGAACCAAAACTCGGCTTTCATTGGGGTCAAGATAAAACGGATTATTCTCATGTGCATTGGAGTTCTCATTCTGGGTTGCCATTTTTTTCCAGAAAGAAACAAGAAGAAGAAGAAGAAGAAGAAAATTTTCTACCAGAGTGATAGAGGGAGACTAGAAACTTGGAACAAAACACTCAATATTATTCACATGTGGTTCTCAGTGTCCTTTCATTGCCCTATACTATACAAGTTCAATAGGAACTCTAACGTCACAACACACTCAACTAACTAACTTCCCTAAACGTAACTAACAGTACTACAACTAACTTCTCGAAACATCTTTACAAACAACAGACACATAGTCCTTGGCCCACAATGGTGCTGACTTGGCTCTCAGCACGTGACTTCCTTGATGTATCCCATTCACAGAGCTCTAATTAATTACGAAGCAAGAAATTGATAACAAATATTACCCATCATTAAATTACAAAACTGAATAAAGTCATAAACAGACTCTAACAAATAACTTACAAGAAGAGTCCACGTAAGCATGAGTCATGGACTTATGTAGATGAGTTGGAGAATGGATCCTTTCTTATGTAAAAAAGTGGTGACGTAGTTATGTTATTGGATCAAAACTACTCATTGAGAATGATAAAAAATATATATATAATTTTTAAATGAGTGATCGTGATCAAATAATATAATTACATGACAATTTTTTCATGCAAAAAGATCCAAATCTCGTGTTTTGTATATCATGATATCCATGTTCTTTAGTATTGCGAAATAATTGACGTTGCCGATGTGAGCGCCTTATTTTGGTGCTGTTCCCAAACCTTGTTATTCGTAAGGTATTACCTACCTCTTTCTGCGCACTGCGCATCATTATTATTATTATTTGATGATCGTAAACATTTTGTTTGCATGTATAAGCTCGTCTTAATGCAATAATCTTCAAAATGCGGAAGTTTTACATGATTTTATTATATGGAAGATCCCATCCCTTCATTTATAGTTTAACGGTCGTGGACGAGTCATGTAAAAATTATCTTTTTTTGGATAATACCAACCTTAATTATCTTTTTGTCTTCAAGATATATTTGGTTGGAAAGTGAGAATTGAATTGAGATTCTCTCCCTTCACATTCATATTCTTTAGTTAGTACTTAGTACGCTATGCAATGAAACAACCTCCATTTTTCAATTTATTCATACAAAAGGAAAGAAAGAAAAATGTCTCCCAAGTTAACCATCACAATCAAACAAAAAAAAGGATGATTTCTTTCTTAAATAAATAAGCAATGATATACTTATCCTTAATTTAATTTTTTTTTAAAATCATATAAAATTGCTTTACTTTAAGGATTTTTGTTATATTAATTTTTATCCTAAATAGTGACAAATGCAAAGGATTTCAAGAACTGCCTCCCCAACTATCAAAATACGCGAATAAAATAATCAGGTGAATTATTTATTTTTCAAATAAAATAAAAAAATCTAAAACTTTAACCTATATACAAGAGTTAATTATCAATAAAGTAAAATTAAGAGTATACATAATTATTTTTAAATTATGATTAATATTTATTGTTGGTCCATACAACACTTTCATTACATCTAACCCCGACCCGGAGGTTATAAAAATGAATGTAATAATAATAATAAAAAAACGGGGATGAAACGAGGAAGCCCAAAACCCTTCGCAAAGGATACATCCACCAATGAGCCAAATGATAAACCACAATAAGTGGACCGACATTCAACGGTTGTAGGTTGATGGGTCTTTCACACTTATATGGTCATCATTTGGTCTATGTCTAGTCTATGTGGTACTTCTTTACAACTCATACTTGATTATTTTCAACATCCTCCCTCAAGTGTGAGGCCCAATATCATTCTTACTCTAAGGTCAACTTCTGCGGAAGTCTTTTTTCTCTTCAAATATTAGGGTCACACTAACCTTCTGCAAAGGTCTTCCAAACACTTAGCCCAGCCAAATCGTTGGCTCTGATACCACTGTTGGGAAGGGAACGAGGGAGCCCAAAACCCTTTGCAAATGATACATCCACCAATGAGCCAAATGATAAACCACAATAAGTGGACCGACATCACATCTCAACCCAAAACTTTAAGGCTGTAGGTTTATGGGTCTTTCACACTTATATGGTCATCATTTGGTCTATGTCTAGTCTATGTGGTACTTCTTTACCACTCATACTTGATTATTTTCAACAAATCATTCCTTTGAAGTATCTCTTAATTGTTTTAGTCAATACAAACAAAAAGGCAGGCCAGTTTTAATTCATTTGTTTCTTCTTTTTTCCGAAGAAAAACCAATGGATCCTCTAGCAATGAAAATTGTTGCAAAATCAGCACCTCAACAGGGGAAGAAGAATAACATGAGATGAGATTCTAAAATTAAGAGCAGACCGAGAATTATAGTAAATGTAAATACAATCAAAGAACTGGCATCATTTATTCCCCTTGCACACAAGACCAAGGAAGTTATTCTCAAAGGTTCCTCTTAGTAAATTTTACAGTAACAGCAAGCATATACTGTACATTCTCAGCCAGTGAGATTATCATAATTAACAAGATGATAATATCCAATAAGTCGAGATACAAGAAGCAGAATAGTTCATTCACACGTCTAAACCTTAAATGAGAGCAAAATTGTCTGCTCTTTGTTTTTCTCTATTTCTCAAAAATAAGCTGAGCAGATAGATAAGCAATACCTTTGTATGGTTATCAGTATCCCAAGGTAAAGTTAAATAACCATCCAATGCATATAATTGCAGTGGCAGACTCCTAAAATGATATTTAACATAGAACAACAACACTTCTTGCTAAGGGGAGAATGTACATCATTTCTTCGAAAGCTTCTGAGAGAAAATATTCTTGGAATACGGGCAATTTCGTGATATTCCTTTGCGGGACTCAATTGCTTCAACTAGTAAATTATGCACACGGCCCTAGTTTAGAAGTAAAAGACAAACGTGAGAAAAAAGTAATACCATGCAGATCAGAGGAATCAAAATGTTCGTTGACGAATGCTAAAATGTGACTACAAAAATTATATGCACTTAAGCAGCAATTGAAATGAAAAGGAACAATGAGTGGTCATGTTACAAACCTCAGAAAGCCGAAGAGCTGATTGAACAACATAATTTGCATGTGGATCTTGAAGCAACTGTTCGAAGCGGGGAGCAGAGAGCAGTTCATCAATGACTCTTGATTGATTCTCAACGTTGAATACAGCAAGACATTTTTCTACCACATGGCTACCGAACTTCTGCATCGACAGGTGCACGTAGTTACCTTTAAATTGCCAGCTTAGAGTTGCGATGGCAGATGGAATCCTTAAGTCCAAGATAAATTGAACAACATAATTTCTGCAAAAGGCAAAAAGAATCAAAAGGTGGAAAAATCAGAAGGGAAGTATAATTTTATATCATAGTTTCATAGGACAATATAATTCCTAAATATAACAATAAAACGTCAACGTAGAATTAGCCTCCATTAAAAATGATCAACCAGAGTTGATTTGTTAACTATAAATCCCATTCAGAGAAGAAAGCAGCAAATTAAAAAAGAAAAAGAAGAAGAAAGAAATCAGTACATAATGAACAGAGAAAATGCTCAGCCATTTCAAGTGCATTGTCCCACGGTCTGGTTTAATAAATTCCACAAATAGATGGATTTCAGTTCCAAATTTAAAAATGATAATTGTTAAAAAAAAAAAATGTTCCCCTAGTCATACTATTTGGAATTCACTGTTTCCATAAATGCCATTTGAACTGCAAAAGGTGTAAAACAAAAGCATGTATCCTGACCACGACATGTTCTACTCCCCCACAAAGCCTCTGGCTGTCCAATAAAATGGTTTCAAAATTTCTCTAACAATAAGGAACAAATAAGAAAATAAGCAAATAAAAATCGGAGAGAGGTAGGGGATTTAGTTTTTGTGAAACTGAGACCCCATAGGCAGAAATCAGTAGCAAAGAGAGTGCTAGATACCAGTTGCTGACATGTTGGGAAGAATGGCACATAGACTGACTCCAACTCCCTAAAACATTAAGAATCCATCCGGTTTTCCATGTATTTCAACTATTGGGAATATAACAGTGAAGACAACTATATCAGAGAGTATGGATGTCGAATTGGATGAGCAAAGGCAGGGATAGCAAGTGTAGGAGGTTACTCAACTCTTCATTCAATGGAAAGGGAAGGCTGTTGAAGAAGCAACATGAGAAGATGAGTGAGAAGCCAATTTCCTCATTTCAGTCTTTCTGGAAGGAGGGGGCCATGAAAGGAAACTTCCTTATATTGAACAAGCAAAGGCCTATTAATAGATCAAGTTCGGGATGGACCTAAAACTTGGAAGCTTTACACTAGGAAGAGAAAAGGAACACGTGAAGGAGGCGAATGATGTAAGTTAAAGGGAAGTGAGAGAAGGGGAGTGAGTCGGTCAAGTTAGTTATATAGAGGGATGGGAAGAGAAAGGGGGGAGAAGAACAAAATTCTCTCAGTTCTGGAATTGAGAGTTTTCTTATATCTTTCTTTCATTTTCTTCTACTTGTATTCCCTTTTCCCATCTGAGAGAGAAATATCATGTACATATATAAAAGAACCATTTCTGTTTCTATCATTCTTTGTTCCGGGGAAAAAAATATGTGTTTGTAGACCAAAAAGTAGACATTTTTAAAGCAAAAATATCAATGCAAGGTTTTATGTGCTATATACTTTAATATATTTCCAATAATTACCCAAATTGATCTTGAGCTAGCAGTAGTGCATTAGCAGATATTTCGGCAACCAGTTTTTCTCTGTGCTCCCCACTTGAATGGCCAATGCATCTTTGCAGAACACAACATCCATGTTGATGGGTTGCAATGTCAACGCAATACTTCGCAGCAGCAACAAATATAAACTGCTCAATGAAAAAAAAACAGGAGAAACATAAGTTTTAAGGAACAAATATCAACTTTGGCACCTATATTCTACGTAATTTCATCAAACTTCGATCTTAAGGAGTAAAGAAATTACATTTGTGACAAATTGACCTGCCCAAATTAATTAGCACGGCTAACAATTGAACTAAGAGGGCATTGAAAAACTTATCCATACAATTCACTTAGCGAGTTCTAAACATGCAATAAGGATGTCCAACAATATTTCTAATAGTGAGACAGGTCTTTTACCTTTATTCTGTGCAAAATATTCATTATAAAATATACTCCTAGCCTTAAACTAGGGAATATGCACCAAAATAGAGTCCTTTACCCTTGAGCCTAGAATCTAGATTACCACAAACCAGTCATCATAGGGGAGGTAAAAAATGCTACCAAGAACTGTAAGTTATAGAACAGCAAGAGAGAAGCACGGAAAGAGCAATTACCTCACTGCAATTCAATTTGGTGATAAGGAAAAAATGCAGACAGGTATAACTATCATATACATGTTACTATCATAAACAAAGTAAAAATTGAAGAAGCTATTAGTCCAGCAAATTTAAGTCAATTTGAAATGGTGATCTACAATGTATTATTTGATATTATAGGCTCAGTCTCTTCTGTGCGCAAAAGGAAAGTGTAAACTATGCGATCGTAAATAAATCACTCCATATGCTTAGATACCATGACATCTGTTCATAATATCAAGTATAAAAAATGCCAAATGTGAATATGTGATCGTGAACTTGGCATTACTACATGACTGCACAGTCATAGTCTGACTATATGCTTCTGTCAAAACATAATACTCTACATACAGCACCATAGCTGAAAGATAAGTCCACAATTTTCATTAGATATACATTATATACGTAGGAAATATAAAACAAGTTTCTGATCTGGCAAAGAAAAATAAGGCTTACAAATTAACCAAGCTGATATATTTATCAGTCAAACAGAACAGCACATGACCATTATGCTTCCCTGTGACAGCTATCCTTTCAAAAAAAACTAAAAAGTTCTCTAATATACCCCATAAAAAAAATACAATTTGAAAATTGGTATCAATAATACGTGCAAACTTAACCAGAAATGTGATATCAAATTGGAATTTCGGTGATTAGAACATCATTATACAGTGATGAATGTTAAGGAATATACATAGGGGTTAAATTTTGAGAATGGAATGAAACTGTGGGAAAATAATAAAAGTGCTTTTTCACAAGATATGATCAGTTGTTATGGATTAGAAGTTCATAAAAACATAGCAACAAGAGTGACTTAAGCAGACAATTTCTGTTCACCCATAACTACATCATGTACAAGATTATTATCTATAAATACTTGAGAAAGGTAGAAGTCAAACCTTGTTATCTTCATTGCTTAGGCATTGCAAACAATGCTGAACCACATGATTTCCATTGAGATCTTTGATTAGAGCCAAGAATCCTGGTTCAAGAGCAGATACAACTAATGAAATTTGCTGCCTAGTTTTGAGAGTCTCAATCAGCTTCTGTACCACACGAGTGCTGACGGAAAATAAAAAAAGAAATGTCAAACTCGACATCAGACAAACAATATAATAATTCAATACTTGCATGAGTTGCATGATTACCCATGAGTGTTTAAAGAGATTTTGACAAGTTGCCCTGGCTCCTCAGTAACCATGCGTATGATCTGCATCCTCTGTTCTTCATTACAGACATCCAATAACTTTTGCATAAGGTAATTTCCAAAAGGATTCATCATAAGTTCCACTACATGATTAATAATCTCATTAAATATCACTTGAACATCTCCTGGTGTACCCTCATCAAACATTCTTTGCAGGAACCTACAGCCATGCTGATCTTTGGCAATGAAATATATGCAACCTCGAGCTTCTGCTAGGGAATTACACTTGGATAGCAGAGGGAATGAGCAACCAATCCTCAGACTCCTAGGATTTTCACAAATTCCTACAACCCGGTGCCGGTTGTCTAGCCCTAACCTTTGTGGATGCTTAGCAAAGGTAGTTTCACGCATAGCTCTATGACACATTGAACTATCTGAACCCTTGTTAACAACATAATTCAAACCTTCACCTTGTATGATGAAACTCCCCTCACTTGTAATAGCATCTAGATTTCCTTGCGGGATTCTAGCATTTGAAGGTGGCACAGCTCTTGCATTAGGCAGAGGAAGGTTATACTGCTCTAAATCTTGAACACTCATATGAGGGCTAAAATTAGTACAAGGGGGATAGTTAGGCAATCTTGACATGCCTCTTTCTTCCATTAAATTCAGTCCATATATCGGTGCATAAATTGAAGCATCAGGTGCTGGATTTCTGCTCAAGGAAGCAACAAGCTCTGGTGCCAGATTTCCTCTACAATAGTGGTTATTTATAAGCTGCCTTCCGTGCCTTGGAGAATCCATTGAACCACTAAAGCCATTTAATTGAGAGTGTATAGTGTCGTGCCACCCAGGACATGGCAGTGATCCAAGTAAATTAGCTCTGTTATAACCCTGGGTTAATCCTATCAATGCTGAATCCATTTCAGCCCCACGACTGATAGGACTCCTGAGGAAAGGGGATTGAAATCCCACAGAATCAAAAGATCCTCTCATGAAATTGTCATAACCACCATGATTGTTGTGAACATTGATTGGATTATTTCCACGATATGGAAGGCCATTAGGATTCTCATGTTGATTGCCAATGTACATTTTACTCAAATTAGCACAGAGGCCTAGTTCATCAACCAAGGTCCCACCGGCATTCTCCCTCACAGTCACAGTAGAATCAGGCATATTGGAATCCAACCAGAAAGTGTTGGGGTGAAAGGAGCTTCCACAAGGCATGGTGGATTTAAGTTCCTCCAACGGAGGTGGGGTTGGTGATCCAGTGTCAGATAAAGAATGGCCACCAGAGAACAAGCTTGAGGAAGAGCCATTAGTTTGCAGAGAGAATCCACTGACAGTGGATGATGCACACGAAAACTTAATCTGAGTTGAAGGGTCATCATCATAGCACATACCATTATTGCTTCCACGGTTTGCCTGTTTTGTTACAAAAGAGCCATGATCATCGCCATCACCACGAACATATCGATGGCGATGATAAAGATGAACAGGAATGCGTGATGTTGCGTGAGGGATCTCATCCAGCAACGTTTCGAGCTCCTCAAGCTCCCCAACATCCCTTCCGTTTTCTACCATCATCTTTTTCCCCGTATCAACAACAACGCTTTAACACACCAACGAAACAGAGAAAAAAAAAAAAAAAAAAGTAAAAACAACAAGAACACAATAAACTCACTCACTTACTCACTCACGCCAAGCAAGCAAAGCAATCAAAGGAACCCAAAAATCAGAAAAAAGAGAGACCCATTTCAGATATTGATTAAAAGAGGATAAATAAGATAACCCCACGAGAGATTGGTCATGTGGGTTGGGGTTGAACAATCAAAGGCGGTGTCTTGGTGATGGGATTTAGAATTGCATTTGCATTTGAGAAAATGATCTCATTTGGGTTATTGGGTTTTATTTTTGAGTAGTTTGGTGAAGCATGCAAAGATTGAAGATTTACATACGGTTACAGAGCACCGTAGGTGTACAAACTCAGCGTAGTCTCTCACGCCATTAAAGCTGGAGAAGAAGAGACACTCTACCCTTTCTATTTTCCTTAATATTTATATTATAATAATAATATGAACACAACAACACAACAAAAAAACAACACAACGCACAGAGCAAAAGGGAAACAAACACACTACGCTCTACGCTTATGTGTGTGCGAGTCTTTCCTGTCACTGTATTTCAAGCTTCTACTTCCTTTTCTTTTTTTAATTATTATTTTCTAATATTTAATAAATAATTTAGTCAAGGTAATAAAAAAAACTCCTTTGCGATGCGTGTTGTGCACGCTCCGCGATGTCAGTGGGTCCCATTAAGTAATGAACATTTTATCGTGGAGTTCCGATGCTGTATTGCGCGTGGGACGTAGATTATTATTAAATAAAATATAAAATGAAAAAAATTAAAATATTGTTTAAAAGAATTTTCTGTTACTGATATCTGCACGGATAGCAACAAACAGCATAACCCTCGAAATTCTCTCGCCGCGTTCGTGTAACGGCGAGAGGATTTGTTGTGATAATTATGATTTTTGTACAATCTCTATTCTGCCCTCCATCACTCTCCATTTAATACTTATGGGAGTGTAAAAGACCGTCTTGATAAACCCATAACTACCTCCTATTTTAACGCCAATCACTCACATCATTAACATAAATTATATCATAATTTACTTTCTTTTTAAGAAATATTCTTTTCTTGTTATGATCTTCTAATATACATTATAATTGTGTATATCATCGTTCATTTAAATATAAAAAATATATGTGTTCAAAATATATATATATATATATAAAATTAAATTGTTATTAATATATAGAGATATCCTAATTGTGCAATCAGTAGCTGTTTTACATTATAAAATAATATATAATAGAATTAGGGATGTTCGCGATTTGGATTGGATCTATGTTAGAAGCAAAAATTATCCAATTCAATCTCTTCAATTTGATAATGTAATCATCCATTCGATTTAAATTTTTTTTCAAATCTAATCCGATTCAATCCAATTTTTTTGAGTTTGAATCGGATCGATTTTTGATTTTTTGAAAATCCTACAATTTAATTCATAATTATTGTGCAAATAAAATTTTTTGTACATATTGGTTTTGTAAAAAAAAAATTGAAATATAAAAGCACCCATAAACAATAATATAGTTTTTTTGGAGCAATGATGAAATATGAAACTCTACACAGATGAAAATTTTGTTAATGAGATGTGACTAAATTTTTTTCTTAGGCTTAGTTAATGGATTTTGGGTTTAGAAATTTTTGAGCTATGATTGGGAAAAGGTCCAAATAGGTAGAGGAAAATTAATATATTGGATCGGTTTTCATTAACTAATTCGAAAACTGATCTAATCCAATTAAAATTTCTAATTTTTTTTTATTTTTGGTTTTTGATTTTTCGATTTTTAATTTTCAATTTATTCAGTTATCAATTTTTTAATTCAGTCACCATAATTTAAATTAGTTCACGAAGACACTAAATAGAATAGCATGTCTGTCTATGAGAAAATAATCGGTGGATTGGATAAATTAAAATATGAATAAGAATGAGGGTAGATGTGACAAATAAGTGTGCTCATTTTTTTTGTACAAGGAAAACATAAACTTGGAGTTGTTTTTTATGACAAATTTTCAGATAAAAATATAGATAAATGGTAAGTATTAGGAAAATAAAATCCGATAACTGTTTAAAAATAATCCAAAACAAAATAAAATTAATGAAACAGACAATTAATGAAAATGATGGCTGAAAATAAAACGTCTGATAACTTTTGCTGATAATCAATATTTTGACGTGGGAAGTATAGGCCACAGCGTGGTAATTTAGTTTAATGGAATCAACATAAAAATCCAAGTTTAAAACCGCGACAAAACGAAAGAAATTGTTTGTACTTTGTAGTCATATAAGACAATTTTCTCGGGCTGTAGCCACGCTGGTTCATCCAAGAAAACAAAAATGGTTACACAACTTTCTTTCGGGTTTTTTTTTTTTTTCTCTTCTTTTCTTTCTTTTACGACAGCATAAATTGTATTGGAGCTGATGTAATACAATTAATGGATGATTAATTTCAATTCCTTGTAATATAAGGTGTGATTTTAGCAATAATTAATATAGAAACAAAATATACATAAATATATAGTAATGAAATATGAAATTCATTATCATGTTCTTTAATTATTTTATTATTATTTACTTTGAAATTCTAACATTTGTAAAACACTGTTTTAATGCTAAACGTTACATAATTCTGATTTCTAACTTGAAGATTATATATATATATATATATATATATATATATATATATATATATATATATATATATATATATATATATATATATATACTGATATAAGACAATAAATTGCGCGAGGTGTTATATAGAAACACATAATGGTCTCCAAATTCGTAGCTCAATTGACCTTTCCTTCTAGTTTTATTTAACAACGAATGGAAAGCTTCTATTTAACATATTACAAGTTTACTCAGAGTACCTCAGTAAGAGTTTGTTTAATTGGTAAAATTGTCTATTAAATTTTTTTTATCATGGGTTTTGACTCATTACAATATTTTTTATTCATTAAAACTTATCGATAGTTGATCTGTACAAGATATTGAATTGGTCATCGTGATCCCTTTATTTCCTGATTTTATTACATTTTGTTAGCCTAATGTGTCATGTAACTATTAATATAAGTCTAATCTTTAACAATTAACTATGAAATGACTTATTATATTTAACATACATTTGAAGGCTAGAGTCTCCTCATATTCTCAACTGAAAAAGTAAATTTTACCTACTGAAATGCATATAACAACAAAATTATTGAAGAAGAAGACTTAATCTACGAATATAATTGTTCAGTTAAAGATGAAGAGATCCTTTAATGGTTATTTGAGATAGTTGATAGGTTATTCCTCTCTATGTAGTCATGAACGACAAGTGATGATACATTTATAAGAACTATTACGGTAGTGAGAAGGAAATATTATCTGATGCATATTTGTCTTTTAGCAAAGATTTAAAGGGGATCACTCAAAAACGGATTGGTTCATGCATACTTAATTTCCCTTAAATAAGATTTTGGGTTTAAGCTCTTGTGAACTATGATACATCGACACTTCAAAAAATTTGGCGTTGACACTTTTTGATACTTCGATATTTCTCAACACTCCAACATAGACTCAAAAAAAGGTTCAAATGTTGCGCTGCTTTGCGTTTTTAGTTTCAATTATTAGATTCGTTGGATTACAATTATCACTTTATTGAGTTTAATATAAATATTTATGATATCTTATGTTTCTTTGCAAAAATGATGGGTATTATAAATTTAGTTTCATTTTTTTTTGTTAAATTATTTAATATTAAATATTATATTCACTATATAAATTAAAAATATTATTTAATATCAAAATGTGTCCTATCGTGTCGAAATCTAGTATTTTTTAGAATTAATATATCGGAGTATCATGTCATGTCTTGTATTGGTATCAGTGCAACATAGCTTGTGAATGCAAAAAATTTCTTTGAGGGAGCTAACCCTACATTTATGTAAATATTTCCAACTCGAATATGATTGCCTTCGATAGAGGATATCCCTGATTTATTCGAAACAAAAAAAGTTTATCACTAACCACATAAACCCACAAATCAAAGCTCTAAAATAATAACCATTCAATCAAATAAGGAACAAAATAATAGTATGTTTTATCTGAGTCATAGTATATATTTTTTAATTAATATAATAGTAAAAATTGAACGCATAACCTAATACAAATTACATAAACTCCCCACAACTAGACCAAATCTAATGGCTTGATTCACAATATATTTAGTGTTAGTGTTGCATGGTTATACCTAACTTATAAATTAATCTTTATATAATCTCCCCTATTTTGACATTTTTAACTTATGATGCCAAAATTCGTAATAATAGGATTATTTATCAAAAGATTAGAATTAAACTTTTAATTTATCTTTTAAAGACTTCATAATCCTACATGGGTACATACATGCACAAAACACAAATTTGATTTTTTTTTTCATTATATCAAAGTAATCCCAAAGTGTTATTATTCGTTAGAGACTTAGAGTGGCAATGGAAATGAGTCAATTACATAGACGATTTTAAATTTAAACCCTATTATAAGTTTGAATCTCTATGTCATATTGTATACACAAATTGATAAATTTAATCACAAGTATTTCAAATTATTGATAATATATCACAATCCAAGTTCTTTTTTTTTTATTTTCTAAATGTATAATCCATATAGAAGAATGATAGATTAAGAGGTTATACATCAATTGTCGTAATTTAATATAAAAAGTACTTTAAGTTTAATTGCTTGTATTTTTTTTGGTTTCAAATAAATATAAAAATCTAATAAATATACATACAAGGAACTTTCTAAAGCATTACTAAATTCCACTTTTATAGTTTTTTTTTAAAAAAAATCCACTTTTATATATCCGACACAAAGTAAATGTAAGTTGCCATATTTTATTTTCAATTCAATATAGTTGTATTGGTAAATTTAACTCGACATTTGTTATCATAAAATCAAAATTTAT